AGGTTGAAGCTCCAATTATTGGTAGAGCACAGAGCTAGTCTCCCTTCTTATAGCCCAACTTAACCTTCTATGAGGGCAAGTGGATGGTAGGATCCAAGCCATGGGCTGGCTGGGAGACCGGGATGGAAAATGAAGAAGGCAGGTGGAAGCCTTGGGTAGTTATTTGAATGAACATAGAGTTATCTTGCATGCTTGTGTTTGCTGGGTAGACCTAGACATCTAATAATATAGTTGTGATCTGGTTAAATCCATATCTGTTGTCTCCTGTTATCCTTTTGGTATAGTTGGACAATTCTTTGTTGGATTGGAGCCAAAGTGCTCAGTACCTTGCACAGTTGAACTTGGAGAAGACACAGAAATCAGAGTAGCAGCTAAAGCATCATGCCTCCTGGTCAAGATAGTGAGGAGAATCATGAAGTGCCATTGAACTTAAAAAGAGAGTGGAGTTTCAATTGGTTCTGCTAACCGGTTTACTTAACTGTCGCTAAGCATGTTCCGGAAGGATTTTGACATAGTTTAAAATATTAGTATGTAGGTGAGAACTAGGACTATAATGCAATTCATGCTTTAGCTGTTTCTGTTAAAGGCCTATGACAAAAAAGTCGGGTGTTTTTTTAACATTAGGAGACATGGATATTTTTCACTCTTTGATAATTTCAAACTGAAGAAAGGATTTGGGCCACATTTTCCAAAGAACAGTCAATTCTGGGTTTAGATTAAAGGTCCTAAACATGGACCCAAGAAGTGAATGTTTTTTAAAAATTTAAGCATGTAAAAACAGGAGCATGTTCTGGAAACTATTTGTCAGTCTTAAATAAAGCCAGAACTAACAAGTCATAGTAACCAGGGAAAATGGAGCATACAGTGGGACATCATCATAGCATGCACACACACACACACACACCCTGTAAGTAGAAAGAAAATGAAGAGGGATATCAATTAGAGATAGGACTAGAAACATTGATTTTTATCAACACAAGAACATATCACTTTGAAATCAATTTGTGGGGGAAAAAAACAGAACTAGAAAGTCACTAAAATCCTTCTGGTAATGTCTCAGGAGATTGGCAATAGTTTATAGACATTAAAATCCTGCACAAATATTTTTTAAAAAGCTGAGGCTTGGACTGTCTCAGTCTGTAGCCTCTTCTGTTGAAGATTGGTATGTTAGTTTTTCATGCATAAACTGTGTGAACAGAAGATCACTGCTTTCCTGCCAACTTCAAATAACATCTCAGCCTAGCTTCTCTCAACCTTGATTATTTCCGTGACAAAACTCCTGTGTGACCCCTTCTCTGGCCTCAAGCTTTTACAGAGAGGACACATTGCTATGTTAGCATGCTAACTACTGCAACATTTTAGAAAAAAGGCTCTTAGAGAATGTCATGTGATTTATGTTTTCCACAAATCTACAAACTATTCTGCAGGATTTGTGTATCTTTGATACTGATCAGAGTGAAAATGAGATCTTACGAGCTTTATCTGTTTCTTGCTGCTTGATCAGTTTCCATCTCATTATGCCCAGCACTAGCTTTCAGGATTAGCTAATAGTCAATGGCATACTAGCCTTGACATAGAAGAAAAAAAAGCTATTAAATTTGATCTTCTAGTTCTCCCCAGAGGTAGGAAACAACAACAAAGTAATTTACCCCCTTATTAAGAAGGTGATTCAGGGCACAGCTATCAGCATATAACCACTGGCTGCCCCTTTTGTGCATAGATATTACCCATTAATGCACCATATTTTAATGCATTATCATCATTAAAACCAATATTTTGGGGCTATAATCTTAGCAGTTTAGTTCTCTTCACAGCATTCTTGTGGGAAAAGATATCAACAGAAATCTGGAGATTTAATTATTAAAATGTAATTCATTTGACTCATTCTAAAGCACGATTCTTTTATTCTGCATTTTTCAGCTAATGAAAGTCAGATTCAATTATATTTTGGGCAATGGACTTGATCTAAAGGGGTTTATCAGCTTTCACTAAGGATTGTAGGAAAACATTTTTTGCTAGCAAAAGCTGGCTAATTAGATTTGGAAAAAATGCAAAGAGAAAAACAGCATAAAAGAAGGGACAAATAGGCACTTGTTTTAAAACGACATGTTGTATAATTTTAAAGTGAACATTTTAATAGCTAATATTAGACATAAGTCAAAGTCTGAACACCCCTTCATTCTGAGGGGATGAAAGTATTGAGAGTGTAAGCCAAGCTACTGATATGAATTCTGCAACCAGTTGCTTGGTCTACCAAGAACTAAGCCGAACTCGCAGATTTTAAAAAATCCTTACTGGGTGTCAAAATCTGGGCTATCTTCCAATTTTGTAGTTCAGTATCATCTATAGGATATATTGTTATAATTTTATCTTTTCTTTTCAGTAGTGGGTTCTGCTGCAGATTCAAGGTCATTATTTAGAAATTTGTCCAGTATCTTCTGTGCTAGACTAAAATATATTGCCAGATTTCACATAAAGACAAGTTATAAAACCCTGAAATTTGTAGGCTACGTCTAGACTGGCCCCTATTCCGAAATAGCCATGCTAATTTCCAATTTTGGAATAGGGAAATCCGCGGGGGATATAAACATGTCCACCGCTTTTTTTCTGGCTTGGGGAAAAGCCGGAAAAAAGCATCTAGACTGGCGCGATCCTCCGGAATAAAGCCCTTTTCCGGAGGATCTCTTATTCAGGACTTTCCCCAAGCCGGAAAAAAAGCAGCGGACATGTTTATTTAAATCCCACGGGGGATATTTAAATCCCCCGCGGATTACCCTATTCCAAAGTTGGAAATTAGCATGGCTATTTCGGAATAGGGGCCAGTCTAGACATAGCCGTACTGTTTAGATCACTTCAGAGGTTTCAAATGTAATAAAACTGAACCCTGATGAATACATAGCAGTGAACATTCACAGGTAGCTAACAGATACATATCTAATAAGAGAAGAATAAAGTAATGAAACTGTAAGTTAATGCTATTGGTCTGAAATGTTGTGTAAAGTAAGAGTTACTTTAGTTTAAGAAATGTTTTATTTAATGATTATGGTTCTGCGTCATCCTTCTTTGAGTTGTCTTGAAGTTGTCTTTACTTATCAGAAGATCAGCGCCATATGGATAGATCCCCCAAGGGTTGATTTAAATGAGTCAAGTAAAGACCTGCTACATCAACCACTAGTTGCACTCCCATAAACTCTGGTACTCGACTAGACTGAGAAGCAAAAGGGGAGTCATGAGAGAATTTCTCCTGTCGACTCCCTGCAGTAGAGATGCTGTGGAAATTTGATCTAATATATATCGACTCCAGCTATGATAGTCACATAACTAAAGTTGCATATCTTAGTTCAACAATGCCCCTTAGTGTAGACAGGACCTAAATCAATCCGGTATTAGAAGAAAAGGGGAAGATTAGCTGAAGAATGTTGGGGAAATTTCCATTAACTGCAGCACATATGATAATAAATGATTTGTGGGAATGGTTGATTTGGCAGATCTTGAGCAGAAGGGAGAAGCACAGAAAAGAATAATGCCAAAAGAAAACTAAGGTTGACAGAAGACTGCAATTTAGATGTGAGTTTGTAATGGGATGTGGTGGCAACTAAAAAATAATTCAATTTGCACTCAGAGGCATCAGGGAGATTACAGCCCTATTCAAATGAACCCTTAAAATCACATCCATAATACTGCATGTTGACAAAGTGCATCTGCTTTGATCCTCCATGTTCTTTAGGGTGGCAAAAGTACTTCTCCCTCACATGAGACTATTGTTTCTGAAACAGCAACTTGTGGTTTCTCTTCAATCTCTGCTGCCCTCCTTGTGTTTAGTAATCCTCCCACTTGGTTACTGTTGACAACAACTACTCTAAACAGACAACAGTCTTTAGCAGAAGGAAAGGGGGGGTGGAAGGGTGTTGCACCTTGAGGTCGCCAAAAATCCTTATATTAAATTTAAATGTTCTGTTTAAATTCTTGGGTTTGGTCAGTCTGTTCCATTTTATATGAGAGAGGGAGAGAGAGAAAAATGTATAAAGGCCTCAGTCCTACAAGCTGTATGACTATGTATAGTCTTACTAAAGTCAATGTCAGTTTGATGATTCTTCAAAATGCACAGAGGTAGCTTCATCTAATACTCTTCTGGAAGCCAGGGAACAGCTAGACACTCTAAATGCTGCTAAGGATTAGCTAGAAGAGGTTAAAATGTGCAGAAACCACGGAAGAGTTGCAGCAAACTTTGGATGTAAGTATAGCTATGGAAGATCACAAAAAAATCCCTTGGTCTGTAGTATGATTGACTATTTCACATTTAAATTTCACTTTTCCACCATTCATGTAAATTACTAATATCTACCAGTGAAATCACATATAAACTTTATGGAAAGGCTTCTATAGTAAATCATTCTAAATTATGTTTTTCTTAATCATATAAGGTCCCTAGTAAACTTCAGATTTTGTACTTTTACACATCCATATATACATACAACAACCTCAGAATGATTTGAGTACATCTTGAGAGATAGACGGTCTTAAAGATGAATTCCAAAAGAAAGGAAAAAAACAAAATCTTAAAAAAAAACCCCACAGAAGTATTGTTTGAAGGACAAACCTGAGTTAGTTTACCTTCCATGGGCATTTTGGCTTATATCTCCTGCAATAGCTCATAAACAAACAATATCTTGGCTTCATGCTGCTAGACAGCTCTGAATTAAATTGGATTAAATCAGTTTAGAACAGATTTTTTTTTTTTTTTTTTTTTAGTGTATGTATGAATCCCAAACTCAATGATTTAGGTTAGTTTGGCATTGGTGAAGGTTATATTATAAAAGTAAATAAGTGTGAATTTAGTGTGAATATCATTTGTGATACATGGAATAGGGCAATAAAGTATATATAAGCTAATGGCCTAAATGATATAGATTACTTTTTAAATAAAAAATGCAAAGCAAGATTTCTTAATTGATTTTGGGAAAAATAATTTTTAAATAACTCTTTTAACGAACACCTACTTGAGATCTTGGGAAGGTTCTGCTCTGATATGGGGTGTCTCCACAGAATGCCCAAACACTGCCCCTTCTGTGCCTAAAATAAATACATAAATAAAATACAGTACAATTATACTGAAAAACCAAAAACACATTATAATCTATAACCATCAATTGACATTCTAGGACAAAATACTTGGTTGAGTCATTTGTGTATGCTGCTGCATCTCATTACCAATAAGCTTTCTTTATATTCAACGTGTGTTTTTTGCATTTAAGAAAAAGTTATTGCTTATGCCCACGTCTGGATTCAAAATATTACAAACTGCAGTCATCTACATGTTCATAAAAAAGCTTTAACATCAATAATAGAAGTCCAAACTTTCTAGCACTGGTATGACCATCAGTATTTTCATCTCACACTTTGGGTGTAATCATGTTAAATGTCAATATTTTTAAAAAGAAAGAATTGAAGTTTGAACAGCAAAAATCTATGGTCAAAATTTCAAAAGTGTCCAGTAATTTTGTGTAGCTCAAATTTTGTTTGCCTAGCTTGAGCTATCTAATATTTGGATTTCAAAGATTTTGAAGATTTTTAGCCCCCTTAGGGTGCATCTAAATTGCAGGGCTTAACTCGAAATAAACTACCCAAACTGAGCTACGTCAATTGAGTAGCTTATTTTGAAATAAATAGGGAGCATCTACACAGCACTTATCTGAAATAATAATAAAGAGGTAGCCATATTAGTCTGATCTTGCTAAAACAAAAGGATCTGAGGAAGTGGGTCTGGCCCAAGAAAGCTCATCACCTATTAAACCATCTTGTTTGTCTTTAAAGTGCTTCATAGTTTTTCCTTTTATTTTGAAATAGAGCACTCTTCCGCCAACTTCCCTTATTCCTCGTACAATGAAGGTTACAGGAATTGGAGTAAGAAGTCCTACAGACTTTGAAATACTTGACAGTATTTCAAAATAACTGCCTGCTGTGTTGACATGGACTAAGTTATTTCAGAATAGTGCTAGCTATTTCAAAATAGTCTTGCAGTGTAGATGTACCTTTACTGTTTAAAGATACCAAGTATTCTGAATCTCTTTACTCTTTTCACATCTTACATTTCCCCTTGCCAAGAGAATTTGGCTCACTAATTTGCTGACAACAACATTTCTGAAATGGTCACTAATTATAAAACCCTCATTTTGGATGCCTTACAGAAGACACTGGTGCATGCTGCTGAACACCTAAAAACTTTGCCTTACAGAGTAAGTTAATATTTTTGAAGACTCAATTGATATGACCATCCATAACTTTAAAATAAGACTATTTTTCCATTTTCAAGTCAAAACTAAATTATGAAAAATTGACTTTTGACTACATGATTTTTTTTTTTCATAAAAAGGATCTTCTTTTCATAGGAAACTGAGAAACAAAAATCTTAAGGTTTTTAACCAAGAAAATTCTTTTTAAACAAAAAGCTGAAAGTTTTTCCTACTCCCCATTTTTGGCATGTTCTTTTAACTAGCAATCTGAATGCAGTAATCGATTACCAAATAAGTTAATCTTTCCTGTACTTGATCATATATTATCTTCTTCTGTAGATCTAGACCAGTGGTCTCCAACCTTTTTAAGCATGAGATCACTTTTCAAATTTAAGAGCAATCCAAGATCTACCTTAAACCCAAATTCCTTTGTCAAACCCAAATACCTCCTTTGTGTCCCTTCTCTGAGGCCCCGCCCCTGCTCATTCAGTCCTCCCTCACTTTCACTAAGCAGGGGCAGTGGGTTGGGGTGCAAGCACTGGTCTTGGATTAAGGGATCTGGAGTAGGAGAAAGGCTCTGAGCTGAACCTGAGGAAGGCAGTTGGAGTGCCAGAGGTGGTTCTAGGTGCAGGCTCTGGAAGCATGTTTGGATGCTGGAATGCTCAGGGCAGGGACTTGGGATAGCGTTTCAGGAAGTGGGCTCCGACTGGGCACTACTTAGCTTAGGTAGCTCCTGAGTGATAGTGCAGTGGGGAAATGGCAGGCTCACCCCTGCCCTAGCCCTGCACCATTCCCAAGGGCAGCCAGCAAACTCCATCCCAAGTCCTGTTGTGCCCCCTCTTTGCTCTGTGGAGATAGGATTCAGGGCAGGAAAGGGGGCACCTTGACATCAGTGCCCCCTTTCTCCCTTAGCAAGCAAGCAGGAGACTCCCAGAGGTTGGGGAGGCTGCTCCAAGGCAAAGAGCAGGAGATGCTCAGCAGTACAGGGAGGAGTAGCTTAAGTGTCAGCACTTGATAGCCTCTTGGCCAAACCAGTGACTTTGGCTTTTTTTCACCATCTTTTGTCCTACCACTCCAGGATGATCTGGTCCCACCAGTCGAAACTGATGTCTAGTTGCCAGAAGTGCAGGGGAGGGTAAGTGGAGCCAAGTTAAATGAGCAGACCCAGACAGCAGAGAGAAATTACACCACAATGAACTGGGGATCCTGTTCCTGCAGGACCTGGAAGGCAGTCCTCAGAAACTGCAGCAGGAGGTGCACCAAGACATACAAGAGCCATTGACTGCTGGGAGGTAGGTCCGGCTCCACATCTAGAGAGCTGAGATGCTTGCCAGGGCAACCATAGCAGACAGAGAATTCTTGCTGTCCCTCAATGAAGTAGGCAAAAGAAAAGAATCTGAGACACAGATGTGCAGGTGCGCTGCCTTTAAGTTTGAGCCTCAGATAGCCTTGAGCAGAAGCTCCAGGAAGAGAGAGCCTGATGCCCCAGCTGAAGTGCTTCTGGGTGGCCTTAAATGTGATTCAGCATCCAGTGAGTGTAGATGCTCTATTTCAAAATAGCTCAGTGCTATTTCAATGGACATTTGCTCTGTAGATGCACTATATCAAAATAAGCTATTTCAGAGTTTTTCCTCCAAAACAGCTTATTTTGAAATACGCATATAGATGTGCCCTTTGAAATTTGAAGGAATATTCAAAGTAATTCTTATTTTATCCAAACTAGTTGATTTATTAATTTAAAAAAAATGCAATATTTCACTATATTTTTCCACTTTAAACCTTTCTTTTAAACATGCTGGAGAAATTTGGCAAAATGTGGTAAACATCCTAAAAAAGGCTGTTTTCAAAGTGTGGACAATCAGGAATAAGAAGGCTAAGAGGAAAAATAACTCCCAATACTGACTCAGACAAAATTCCATGTAACTGGTATTATTCTTTACTGAGAAACAGGGATAGAACATATATAACAGCCATTTATATGACTAACTTTATATCTTTTAGTAGAGAGCAATACCAAGTCCACATTACTAGTTATTCAGAAGATTAGGGGGCTTTTTTTTTAAAAGAATAGACTGATATCTGTTTTTGTTTATTGTCTTTGTCTTAGAGTCATATTTTATTTTTGTTATCTACTCTCTCTCTAAATTTTCTCATTTTTACCTATTCAACAGCCTTGTATCTGTAAGCATTTTTTCCCTACTTTTAAAGATAGAATAGTGAACTCTGTGTAATAAAAACAGATTCAATGCTATGCCATGAAATGTTCCTCCCTAGACCACGGATAATAAAAAATAAAAACTAAATGAAATTAATATATATCCACTCTCTCTATATTACTAGAAGTAGGGTTGAGGAGAATGTTCAGAATCCTAATACCTGATCATTATATCTTCTAGGATTAAATACAGTCTTTTAAATTGTTTCTGATATTTATTTCTGAGCACTAATCCTCTGTATAAACAAATGTATCTTTTTTATAAATCTCATTAGATAATGGCAGAGATGCAAACAAAAAAAACAGATACATCCCTCCAGATTTACCAATATTTTAAATACTTTGCTGAACTAAACTATAATAAGATTTAGAAAACAGTTATAGCCAGCAGATTAAAGAAAAAAGGGAGCTAATTTAGTTTAACATGTTGAAATGACAGAGGAAAAATGGCCTCAATTGGATGCCTCAGTTAAAAGAGAAGAATGGTGTTGATTTCCTTGGCTAAAAATGAAGGCGACTATTCTTCTAAAAGCTACTTGCACAGGAGGTTTTTTTTTTTTTTTAAATGGATGATAACTTAGGCTATGTCTAGACTGCAGAGCTTTTCCAGAATACCAGAGGAACAGTTTCTGAAAAAGCAGATGTGTTCTTTCAGCATCCCTGTATTCCTATCAGTGAGAGCAATAGGGGATGTTCCAAAAGAGGACTTTTTTTCTGAAATTTGGCTCTATGTAGACAGGCCATGTTTCAGAAAAGCGTCTTTCAGAAAAAAAAAAGTGGAAAATGATATGCAAATTGTGAGCCACAATTTGCGTATCTTTTCCCAACTTTTCCTGACAGTGTAGACATAGCCTTAAGGAGGTTTATAGAGGGTGAGGATTTGGGGTTGAGTCTTTGGGATGCGGCGGTGGATTGGGGTGCTGGAGGGGATGCACGCTTTGGGAAGGACTTTGGGGACTGGAGGAGCGGTAGGGCAAGGGGCAAAGGAGGGAGTTTGGGGCTGAGAGGAGTTGTGCGGTACAGCACTTACCTGGGATTTCCCCCTCTAGCAGCAGCCTGTAGATGGGGGCAAAGGGTCTCTGGGTGCTACTGCCCAGAGGCACTGCCCCTTCAGCTTCCATTGGCTACAGGAGCGTTTAGAATGGGGAGCCAACATGAAGAGACTCTCACCAGGACCACAGGGATGTGTCGGCAGCCACACTTAGTGAGTAGCAGAGAGCTCCCAGGCCATTTTAAATCACAGAGGGTGGCAGACAGAGCCAGGAAATACATCATGGGGGAGTACATGGAGTTGGCAGGTGGGAACAGGAAAGAGATTTGTCCACAAACTTTGCTGGTGTCAGTCCCCAGACCAGGAATATAACACTTTCCGCCTATGGCTGCTTCCAAAACCCAAATCCTGCCTCAACATTCAGTGCCACAAAGTCGCATTCAAACTGTGGAACTCTTTGCCAGAGGATGTTGTGAAAGCAAAGATCAAAAAAGAAATAGGTATATTCATGAAGGACATGTCCATCAATAGCTGTTAGCCCTGTTCCTAGCTTCGGTTTGCCAGACACGGGACGGATCACTTGATGATTACTTATTCTAGCCATTCCCTCTGGAACACCTGGCTTTGGCCACTG